CTCCCTGTTTTCCTCTATTTAAAAATCTGGATTTTCAAACTTTTCTACCAATTTTGTCCCATTAGTTCAACTAGGGGGTCTCTCACTTAATTAGCACTTAACACCTTAGTTCTTAACTTCTAATCCTTGCAATTGACCTTATAATTTTAGTTTTTAATTTTACATTTTTCATCTATTTGGCCTCATCTAAGCCAATCATAAAGTTATTCAAGTCCCTAAGGTTTCTTAATTATTTCAATTAAGGACTTAAATCTTTAATTTTACTCAATCATTCAATAAACACACCTTTTATTAATTTAAACAACATACCCATACATCACAATTATATTTTTAGGAGGGTTTTAGGTCATGAATGTTACAAGTATTGGTGTTGTCTAATACAACAAGGGCACCTAATTTTTTATATCGGTAAAACATTATTCCCCAAACACCAAACACTTTCAGCTTATAAAAGAGAATTACTAGCAATCTTACATGCTGTCAAACAGTGAAAGCATTACCTAGACTCTAGATATTTCAAAACTATAACTGACCACCACAACTTTAAGTACATATTGAATCAGAAATTATCTACATCTAGCCTTCAAACTTGGTTAGCCAAACTCTTGGGATTTGATTATGAAATCCTATTAAAAAAGGATAAATAAAATATTACAGCAGATGCCCTACTAGGTTACCTTGTTTTGAAATTCTCTCCATGATCATCTTTATAGTTTTTTTTTTTTTTTTTTTTTTTTTTTTTTGCGAATTACTTTTAAAGATCAAAGACTTTTGGGAAGCAAACTCCACTATTCAAAAACTCTTGATATACCTTAAGGGAAATCCTACTACTCAGCCTAGTTTTAAGTGTAAAGATGAACTTCTCACTAGGAAGGAAAAGCTGGAGGTTGGCAATAATGGACAAGTAAAAACGCATATGAGCTTATTTCATGATACTGCCTTAGAGGGTCATTTAGAAATGGCAATAACTTGTAAAAAGCTGAGAGGTGCTTTCTATTAAAAAGGACGACAAAGGGATGTAAGGCAATATGTAAAGAATTGCCCCATTTGTCAAGTGTACAAACCTTAACTAATAGCTACTCCTGATCTATTACAGCCACTCCCTATACCACAAGCAATCTTTATAGATATTTCCATAGACTTCACTAAGGGGCTTCCAAAATCTAAAAGAAAGAAAATGACCTTCATTGTAGTTGATTGCCTAAATAAATATACATGCTTTATGAGTCTCCCTCATCCTTACATGGTTTAGCTGGGGGCCTAGTTATTACTTAATAATATTTTCAAACTATATGGGCTACGAGCTTCAATTATAAGCGACATAGATCTTATTTTCCTTAGTAACTTTTGGAAGGAGTTATTGTCCTTGTAGAGTGTTGAATTATGCTACTCTACACCCTATCACTTTTAATCTGATGGTTAAATAGAGATAGTTAATCGGTGTTTATATATATATATATATATATATATAATGTATGACAGATGATACTCTTTTAGAATGGTCTAAATGGCCTTATTTGGCTCAATGGTGATATAATACTAATTTCTACTCATCCACTAGACTAACACCATTTGAGGTACTATATAGGTTTCCATCTTCAATTCATTTACCTTATTTTCCAAAAGATTCTTCAATTGAAGTTGTGGACACCTACCTTACCTCTAAAGAAGTTACGCTCCAACATCGTAAGCATAACCTTCAACGCGCACTGAACAGAGCATCAATTTGAAATTAGTTACTAGGTATACTTGAAATTGCAATCATACAGATAACACTCAATGGCAAAATGAAGCTTTCACGAGCTCTCTGCTCGATACTAATGCCTTTTCTTGGCAAAAGGCAAGTTGGAAAAGGTGGCTTACCAATTGACATTACCTTCTACTGCTTCAATCCACCCTATATTTCACGTTTTCCTTCTCAAGAAATTTATTGGGTCAAGTTTCATGACCAATAACCTTCATGAATTGCACCCAAACACCATCTAAGCCAATTGCAATCTTTGACAAACACATCGTTAGAGAGGAAGAGTAGGACTACTGCCTAACGGTTGAGGCACAATCTGTCAACTGCGTAAGCCATTTGGGAATTGACTGAAGAGATCAACATGCATTTTCCATCATTCACCCTTGAGGACAAGGGCAATTTGAAAGAGGAGGCAGTGATACGTGCAAGAGAGAAGATAAAGCAAAAGAACTAAATTTAGAAAGAAATTAAATTGAATTGAGTTATAGAGTTTGGTTAAACTACATGCAATGGGCTCAGTGGTTATTGGGTCGGGAATGGAGTTAAATGCCACTGTGGGCTTAGGCAATATTTTAGGCCTAGATTTTCATTTTAAGCATAGGCTTGCTATAGTTATTATTTGTCTACAAATTACAGCTATACTATAGCATAAAGTGTAACAGCAAGAACAGAATGGCAGGATATGCAATAACAGAATTTGTTTTCTACTGTCTCTCCTTCCTTCCTCCTCCCTCCTCTCCTTTTTCGATCTTTCTTGATCACTATCATGAGACTTGTACAATTTCCTCCTATAGCCCATCGTTTGCCTATCCTTTCTACATCACAGTGATGCTCATGCGCATCCACGTGTAGAATATGCTAAATTTCAACTCAGACCTGTGACCGGTGATTATGTCAAATTTTGATAGAAGTAAATTGCTTCTCACCCTTCAAGATTAGCAATATTGCTTGGTTTCTGCCTCTACTAAAAATACTGAGATCCATGCCACAGTACTCATAGCCCTTTTTCACAGTAATATGGAGAAAGCAGTTGTTTGTGAAGTAATTTAGTGATAAATTAAGAAGTTGAAATTACAACTACTGCTTAGAATACAAAGAACTGATTGAACCATATGAGCATTATCGAATTCCTGCTTTAGAGCCACAATGCAATGTGAAATGGGCAACTAGTTTAATAAAGAATCTTCCGTGACTGAATTTGTAGCACAACTGCATGAGCTGGGAACTTGCCTTTCATTAAGTTTCAGAACCATAATTTCAACAAAAAAGAATCCATTCATTCACTGCTTTGCTCTGAACAATGTATAGATAGAGGTTTATAATTGTTTTAGATTTTCAACTAGCAGGGACAAGACTCAATCCTGAAAACCAGTCCCTCACCCTTGCAATGCAGAAAAGAGCAATAGTTATAAGTTCAACTTCTTAATTTATCACTAAATTACTTCATCAACAGCTTCTTTCTCCACAGTACTGGAAAAGGGTACATAAGTAGTGAGGCATGGATCCCAGTAATTTTAGTTAAAGAGGCAGAAACCAAGCAATATTGATAATCTTGAAGGGTGAGAAGCGATGTACTTCTATCAAAATTCGACATCAGCACCAGTCACAGGTCCGAGTTGCAATTAGCATATTCTACACGTGGATGTGCTTGCAGAATGTCCCTTGACCCACTTGCTGCTAGTTGGGAAGATGGAGAAGTAATTAAGCAAAGCTGCTAGAAGTTCATATGCACTGCTAAGTGCCAAATTTTCATTCTTAAAGTTTCATCACTGACCACTAATCCATTATATAGGTGTCCTATGTTTGTGATGACTGGCAGAAGAACAAGCATAGGCCAACCTTCTATGCATAGGAACGACCACAAGGAGATGAGTTTTGAACACATCTTGAGATGAATAATGGTTCTAGAATAACATATGGTCTAACATGCAACTCCTAACTGAATAAATCAACCTAGACAAGCCACAGTTCAATAAACCCTCTCTTGCCATTTTCTATGTGGCATTTAACTTAATCTCTTATCAAACAAGTGCAAAATAAAACCATACAATACTTGACTTAATGTCAATACCTGAGTGAACACAAACTGTGGTTTAATAGCTAAACGGCCTCAATGCATAAAATCTCGTGTCCATACAAAGTGCAAACAAACAAGGAGGGGTCTAGGAGGAGCAGGATTCGGTTCATTCTTTTTAACTGACATATTTGAAAACTTATATTCCACATCCTTAACATTATATTAAAAAATGTGCATCAATCAACACAACCATGTTGATTTTGAACCAGCATTTATTTTTCAAACAAGACATATCCAAAGTTTGGAGGTCTTTATTGAATAAGTATTTTGAAGCACTGGCATAAATTTAGATAGACAGCATTGCAGTAGAGTGTGTTAGGGTTTGCAAACAGGTCCTACAAATATAGAGAATCAGTATCTATCATATCACTTATGCTCGTGAAATTAACCACAAAATACGAACCGAATATACGTTCTTCATGGCAAAAAACCCAAGGAATCTTTGGTCAACTTTCACAAAACAGAATAGTATCCCAATTTTTATTCAAGTCCTAGGCATCACTATCATTATCAATCTAGAAATTCAGATAAGATCTATGGCTGAATTCTTCTAGAAAGTAGATGTCCAAGATTGCCCCAATACTGAATTCAACGGAGAATAGTGAACAGACTGCCTCTGATGGGGCATGTTGGCAGCAGCCCCCAACAATCAGAAATAGCACACTTAAATTGCAAATAATAACCAATAGCAGTATGAAATTTCGTCACTAAACAAACCATTAATAAAGTTTTGTGATATGTTGACAGTAGACAAAATTTTCAATTCAGTATGTCATAAGAGTAGGTAAAATATAAAGAAGCAAAAGATCCAGTAAGAAACAACACCTAGAAAAATTATGAACCAGGCAATGTTATATTGTTAAGAGAAATAGCAAGGGAAGAAGAGGAGATGTTAGAAGTTCCAAAAAGCTACACACACGTGTGACTTTTCTGCACAAAGAGTTGCTTGAACAAAAAAAAAAAAGAAAAGAAAAGAAAAAGGTTACCTACATTCAAGGTTGACTATCCGGTCCAACAGAAACATTTTTTCTCAGCTGTTGTATTGCAGTGTACAACTTCCTTCGAGGCCCAACAGCAAATTAACCCATCTCTTTGAGATCTTCAATAGTTAGCAGGGGCAAAGCTTCCTCATCCACTTCATGCATCTCAAATAAGCGAGCATACTTGCTGAATCCTTGTTTATCCAACCGATGTACTGACAGTATCACCTTGAAACTTCATCTCATCCGATGCATACCCAGATACAGGAGACACATCATGATGTTCATAATAAGCACCCTCCAGCCAAAAACCATCGAAGTTCTCTTGTTGTCTAACATACTCGCAAGCCTCTTTGCCCTTAGCAATTGTTCCATAACCTAAAATGTCAGTAAATTCATTAGCATGGCAATAATCAGTGCATACATCTGATGTAAACCCCCCCAATCTGTTCCATCTTCATTACTAAACTGAGGGCTAAGTTTAGAGCTCCAAACGCTACTAAAAGCATTACCATACCCAGTGGTACTATGGCCTCGGCGCTTCATGACCCTACACTTCCTAGTTATGGTACCAATATTCAATTTTGACTTGGTCATATCAATTTCATCCAAATCCACTTACTTGAAAGCTGATTTTGAAGAATTCGGATTCGGGTTCTTATTCTCCCTGTTCTGCTGAAATCCCCGGAGAGACACCAAGCTCTGAAACTACAAACTCAGAACAAGTTTCTCTAGCAAACCTACAAATGAATTGTGTTGAGTCTCTTTAGAGTTCAGCAAAACATTTCTAAATCTCTTGTAACCAAAATTCTCCTTTGTTTTCTGAGAGAACCCACATGTAGAAACGTCTCCTATTTCCCGTAATCTCACATTTGGGCGCCTTTGCCTTTCCGAATTCATGCTTAGAACAAAGATTTTACAAAAACCCTAAAATTCAAAACCTGAAAAGAAAATCCCCACAAATAAAATCTCAGGATCATACAATAAAACCTCAATAACACACAGTCAACTAAACAAAACCCAGATAGAATAAAGCGAAGCCCGACGGTTAATCTTTACAAATGTTGATAACAAAGTCAAGGGACAGCAATAGTTAACAACTAGAAGCAAATAAAACTTATTGCCACAAATTCAAGCCAGAAAATCGTAAGCCGAAAAAAAAAGGTCCTACTCCTACCTAACAACCGAAACACGTGAAGTGAAGGAATGAACTGGGAAAGAGTAACAGCTCCACCAGAGTTGGGAGTTTTGCAGGTTTCCCGAAAGTAAAATGATTGATGAAAAGGGCTTTTTTCAAATTCAAACAACAGCAGGTTAGTGTTTAGTTTCCTTGTGATACAAAACTACAGGAGGTTTTGCTTTTTTCCTGAGTGTAACGACAACATAGAAGAGTCGGGATCAGTAATTAAAAATTTATTCCAATTATTTGAGTTGTTTAGTCACTAGAAGGATTAATCATAAATATTTATTTTTACATTAAATAATGATTCAAATTATGAGTATATAAAGCACTCTAGATTGATGACTTGCTAAGTAATATATAAAAAGACAAATGACTACTTAAGAAAAAACTATTAAGGCCTTGAAATGAAAAGGACATTGAAATGCTTAAATTGAAAAAGTTATGATTAGAGAAAATCATTGTTTATTGTTTTGCTTGTAGTGGTGAAAATGGATAAAAGTAAAGTTAATGTTGCATGCCTAAAATATGTTGAGTTCTGAAAATGCATAAATCAATTTAGAGACGTACTTTGATACGATAATAATATCTTGAATATTATCGAGTTGACTATTAAATTTTATTGAATTTTGAATTGAGAATTGAGCATCAATGTTTGAAGAACAATCTTACTAGCATGACATTTGTTTGAATGATTTTATGGGTTTATCGTCCGAAAACCCTCACGAAACACAATTCATCCACTAGATTAACTTAATGGTTTAAAGGCTTGTTACATATGCTAAATGCAACCTTGATTCCTATTAAAATGAGTTAGATTTTTATTCTATTTGTTTTATTTGAGGACTAGTAAAGTTTAAGTGTATGTGTATTTGATGAGTGCGTAATTAAAATGATTTTTATGCTCTATTATATTGAATATTCTAGTACTTATTGTATTATATTATGTTATTTAAAAATAAGATGATGTTTTTTGGTTTCGTAGAAAAAAATGATGAATCGAGATGAGGAAGCTCAAAACTTAAGGAGAAAAGAAAGAAACTTCAAAAAGGCTTAAAAGAGTCATACAACCATGTGAGATAACAAAGGAAATAACTACTAGCAAGTGTGACTTGAAGGAGAAAATCGTGTGGAGTCTCAAGCATAACAAGCCACAAGGGTAGAATCATTTCCACACGGCCGGAGGAAACATTCCATATGATCGTATGATTGATTAAACCCAACAACACTCAAAGGAAGAAAAATATCATGCGAGCAAGTAGAATTTTTACATGGTATACATTGTAAAGCCATATGTCGTGTGGTTAAGGAAGAGAAGGTATACACCGATAGAAACTTGGCTATAGAGGATGAAGAACAAAGTTACACGACCGTGTGCCTTAGTTAGCAAGTCGTGTGTAACTTAATTTCTAAGGCTTCAAACCATGTGATATTAAGCAACAAACCATGTGACTTTACATATCTAGCCATGTAACAATGTAATGCCGACACAAAATATGATGTAACCCTAGTTTTAGGCATCAATAGCAAACCTAAGGTATTATTTACCCTCTTCTCCTCTTTAGTTAGCTCTCCTAAATCCACCATTAATAGAATTTCTCTTTGTATTACACTATGAATAACTAAACTCCATTCTTAGTTGAATCAAGTTGAAGCTTTTGATTAATCTCTATGAGATTACCGGTTTTATTTCTAAACTTATCTCTATTTGGTATCTTATGTTTTTCTACATGGTTGGTTCATAGTTGTATGATCAATTTAATTAGAATACACGCTAGTTGTTTATTCATATTGTTTATTGGTAGCTAAGTATTCAAGTCTATGTAATTACTTGTCTAAACTTGTCCGTGATAGTAATTAGGGATTGATGATTAGTGATATTTTCATTCAATTCCTTAGAAAACATAGAACTAGATTACATCTTCTCTCATATTTAAGAAGGTGAGTTAGCTTCATCTATCTTTCTCATCTTAATGTTGTTATTAGATTAAATCTATCTAGTGCTCGTAGGTTGTTCAATAGCTAGAGAATTAATTGAGTATCATATATTCAATCAACGACTAGGTAAAGAAAGATTGAAGTCAACATATATGTTGTTGTCTTACTGTTAATATTCATATTAGGATGAGTTAATTATTTAATCAATGATCGGCGACTCAACTAAAAATGGACACTCGAAGTTCAACCAAGGCTACTCTCATATTGTTATCTCTAACCATTTTTATTGTTTTCAAGCATTCAAACACAAAACCCCCTTTTACACACAAGAACGTCCCAAGAAATTGACTCGATTTCCTTCCCCTATGGATTCGACTCTTACTTATCCTAATTACATAATTGTAATTAAAAGCTCTATAAGGACACATTATAAATAACTAATTTGTTGATGATACGACATGCCATCAAATACTCCCAAGCATAAAATTGAGTCTAAAAAAGTCACTATTATTCAACACACACACCTTAATAGTCAAGCATTTCAAATAACCCAAGAAGGCTTTGTCTAGATATAAATCCTTAAAAACCCTTATTTTTGAGAAATTTTAAATATGCCAATTCTACCACCCTCCACCCTATTTTTAGATTTTTTTGAATTTTTAAAATTAACCTAAATAGGTTGAAATGAAGTGAATTACAAAATTTTAGATCAATACAAAAATTCTAACTACCAAATGTGCTTTTAAGGAACTTTAAGGCTAATAGTGCGAATCTAGGGATAAATCCATTTCCTCTTCAATAAAATCTAGAATCAAAATAAAAGGTGCAAGTTTTAATTAATCTCCCTTGAAATAAAGTCCAACACTCTAAAGAAAATTAACAAAATTTATGCGATATAAACATCAAAAGATCATATGGATACAACGAAACACCATTACAAGTACCTAATCACAATTGATCTAAACTCACCTTAATCGTTTGCTCTAAGAATGATTCATAAAAACTTAACTAATCCAAGGAGCAAGCAAATAGATACAAAGAAAATCTCTAACTTTACATCAAAATATACGAAAAACCATCCTTACAAAGTAGTAAATAGTTTGTTGAAATAGTACTAATATTCAGTTGGGTTTAATAAAACTTTATCTAATTGGACTACAAAACTCAACCTTCGCCGACCATCCTACTAAGAATTAGAAAAAGGGATATTTTATGCACCCATAATTTAATTAGGACTTTGTCTTAGAGTGTCCATGTCAAATTAAAATGCGTATGACTTAATAACTCCTAAACAAATAAGGATCTAATCACCCAATAAAGATGGGCTCATATTTGGTTGCTAATAAAAATACTCATAAGGACTAATTTAATTAGTCTAAGTCCAAATAATCAAAATCCTTAAAATAAAATAATTATCCAACTCATTATCAAGTTTAATAAATACATAAGATAAGATAAAATGATAGGATGACCTAGAAGCTTTGGCCAATGTAGAAACTTTTGGCCATGTAGAATTTTGAAGAGACACTCATGTGTCATCCTCATCCTCGGGTACAAAAAAAAAAAAAAAAAAAAAAAAAAAAAAAAAAAAACCACCTTGACATCTTGATCTTCTTCCTTTTCTTCTCCAAAGCAAGGTTCAATATAAGTTTTATTAATTGTGTTTTAGAGTAGATGATCTCTAAGTAAGTTAATCATGTACGTATGCTCACCCATTCTCTCGACAACACCAAATAGATCGTCAATATCTCCAATTGTGACATCCTTTTTCATGTTTAACTTCTTCTTTGTTTAGGCTCACCCGGACTAAGTCCTTTTCTTTGTAAGTTTCCTTATTGTGAAATTCCGTGACTTTAACTCCGTGGCATCTTAATGTTGAAAATTTTAACATTTTTGTCCTCTTTTTTTTTTCTAAGTAACTCTAAGCAACTCGTAGTTTGATATTCAATTTTTTTTTCTCTCTAAGCAGTAGCCTTTCCCACTCTCTTTCCCATGGTAGCAGCCCCTAAATCACTTCTTGATGTTTTGACAACATCTTTAAACTCGGTTAGTTTGTACTTGGCAAAGAGTATGTTTCTTCTTTTTATTGATTTTATTGGTAACAAACCTCAAGTTATCTTACTCCTCTATGGCAACAACTCCGTCATATTTATCTTTACTCTTAGTAGCTCCTAAGCTCTCTCTACTACCCTCATCATCGCCTACAATCCTCTTATAACTCTCGATAACAACAACACTCTCAAATGTCATACCATCTATGATATCTCTCTCATGTACCTCATTAAGCATCTCACCATACTTTTCCTCATCATGATGTATGATAGTAACCTCTCCATTAAAAGCAATGTCAATAATGTAAGATTCATCATCATTATAGTGGGGGAAAAACGATGTGGGGAAGTTTGACGAATGCTTTGGAAAGATAGAGAAATAAAAAAGGAGTCACCACCTAGTATTAAAGAACTAAGAAAGCCCAAAAATATTACTAGTCTACATAAAAATCTAGGTAAAAGGTTAATTACGAGTAGAGAAGATGGAGATCACTACTACCACGTTCTACTTCGAGGTAGGCTACATTAAATGCATGTTAAATGTAAATGTTTGATCATATTATAATATGAGTTTATGCTTATTTAAGTGAATTTATCTTATTAAAATGGGTTGATTGTGTGATACACCAATTTTAGAACATCTATATGTATAAATGTGTGTTAGTTTGACTTTAAATATTTTCATATATTTGCATGTGTGTATGTTTAATGTATGTATAAGATATGTGTTT